TCGGACAGTGTAAGATATGACAAAATAATAATAATTTATGAATTATGAAGGGTTCATGAGGGAAGGTTGAGTGGGGAGGGAGGGGAAAAATGAGGAACTGATATTAAGGGCTCAAGTAGAAGGCAAAGGTTTTGAGAATGATGATTGCAACAAATGTACAAATGTGCTTGACACAATGGATGTATGTATGTATTGTGATAAGAATTGTATGAGCCTCCAATAAAGTGATTTAAAATATATATATTATTACATAAAAGCAAACATGTTTCAAAGTTTTATATTTTTTATATATTTATAATAATGTTTATCTTTTTATTCTCTCTTGGTTGTTTTGTTCGTGTGTTTGTTTGTTTGTTTGTTTGGGGCCCAATGCTGGTCCTTTCTCCAAAACCCTGGCAATCAGACCACAGGCGTGGGGGTGTCTCAGAGGGGTGAAACCTGGTCAGAGCTTTGGGGCTGCAGGGAAATAACCCAACAGACAGGGATGGTTCAGAAGCCACTCTGCCAGCGGTGTGGTGGCAGCAGCGCTGTGCATCCCATCCTCGGGGCAGGGAGTGTCTACAGCTGCAGTGTCTGACCAGACAGCATCGTGTTCTCAGCTCCCAGCACCCTTCCTGCTCGTTCCTTTTCCAGGTTCTCCAGTGCTCCTGTTGATTCTGTGGGCGGCCTGATATGCTCCGAATAAATCTCTTTTCTTGCTTAAGCTAGCCAGACTTTGTTCCAGGTATTTGTAGCCAAAGAACTTGACGAGTATAGATTTGGCACCATCTCACATTCTCTTTAAGTGTGATGCCAGGAGCCACTGACTGAACTCCTGAGAGGCCCACTCACCTATAAATGCTTTCATACAGCCTCTGTTTCCCCACCTACAAATGGACACATACCACACCCACCTGTCTGCTTTTGGATTTTTTTTTTCACTTAAAATATTTTAGAGGTCAATCCACATTAATACAGATTTTATCAGAATGTTCAATATCCAGTTTGGTGAGTTATGTCTGGGATCCTAGAAGGTTAGGGGTGGCTGTTTAAGACATAACTGCTAGTCTTATTCTTGAGGTGTATTAGAAAATGATGGAAATAGGAGGATCAAAGAAGAAAGGAATCTACACAAAGTACAACCTTTTCAAACCCAAGGTCAGAAGCCTAGATCTGTGGTTCTCAACCTTCCTAATGCCGTGACCCTTGAATACAGTTCCTCATGTTGTGGTGATCCCCCCCAACCATAAAATTATTTTCGTTGCTCCTTCATAACTGTCATTTAGCTACTGTTTTGAACTGGGCAACCCCTGTGAAAAGGTCTTTCAACCCCCAAAGTGGTTGTGACCCACAGGTTGAGAACCGCTGCACTGGATGGTACCCAGCTTCCAACGCTGACAGGTCCCAGAGAGAATGGAAGAAGAGGATAGAAAAATCTGAAAAATTTTAAACATCTAGACCTGCTGCTCTGAAAGAGACTGGAGGAACCCCTGAGCCTATCCCTATAAGATAACCTTTGAACATGGAGTTGAAACTATTTCTGAAATTGATACAAAAGAAACTGGCTTACAAAATAAGCAGTACCACCCATGAATAATGTCAACATTTCCTGAAAAACGAAGTTGAGACAGCAGGAAGGGAAATTAGATCAATGGAAACAGAACACACAGAATGGAAATAATGACAATGCTGACACACTATAAGGAGCTTTCGAGGTGTAGAGGTTACGCATCCAGGAGTGGAGCCTGGAACCTCATTTTAACAAGTTCCCTCCATGATCCTTAGGCCCACAAAGGACGGAGAACCCATCCTTATAAGGAGCTCGGTCTTCTCTTTTCAGATCCTGGAGCCCTGGTGGAGAAGTGGTGACGCACAGGACTGCGATCCACATGGTCAGCAGTTCGAAACCACCAGCATCTCCGCAGGAGAAACACTGGCTTTTTATTCCCATGAACAGCTGCAGTCTTGGAAACCCACAGGGGTCCCTCACTATGAGTCAGCATTGACTCACTTGATGACAGCAAGTTTGGTTCAGTTTGGACACATTGTAAAATCTGGAACCAATAGTACAGAAGGGTGTGTATAAAAATTGTCAGAGGAAAGTTTGCTGTGTAAGTTTTCACCTAAAATACAATAAAATATTAAGTAAAAAAGAAAAGGTGATTTATAATGAAGCAAACACAAATGCGCTTCCATTCAGTCAATGCTGACTCACAGGGAGCTTACGGACAAAGTAGAACTTGCCCCCATGGATTTCTGAAGCTACATATCTCTACGGAGCAGGAAGCCTCGTCTTCCTCCTGCTTGTAACTGCTGACCTTGTGACTAACAGTCTAACTAATGCGTGACCCACTATGCCACCAGGATCCTCAGATTTCTATCAGGCAAATAATATTCCACTGTATGGGAATACTATACTTTCTCCAACCAGTTTCGTCATGCCAATTCAACTGCCTTGTCCTTTTGCTCTTATAAACAGTCCTTTGGGAATATGGCTGCTCCTACATCTCCGGCTTACGGCACCTCTATTAGTAATACATGCCCTCGGGAGGGAAACTCCCAGGTGGGCCAGATTTCCCCACGGAGGAAATGATTGGCCAGGGTACACTCCCACCAATGATGTGTGTGTCTGCGTCCCCTGTGCTCTGTAACGGAGGGGATTATCTGGTTGAGTCTCCCACTTGATGGTTTGTAAGTATTCTTTATTTGTCAGAATTCTTTACACACATCAGGGCTGTGGGATCTTGGTTTATTTCTAGTCACTTGCTGCTCCTTAATGTCTAATCTATCCCCCCCCCCCGTCCCAAGACCCCACAAAAACAGCACCGAGTAGCTCTACTATCTGTCCCTTTATATCTTAATAGCTAGTAGATGGCTAATGAATTTTTATTACACAGTTAAATAATTAAATTTTTATATGTGAAAAGAGACTTCTGAAATTCAGAAATTACAATGAAACTATTTTATCTGCTTACATCTTTCCGCGAATGTGTAATGCAACAACAGCAACAACAAAACCCCGGAAGCATTTACTGGGCCTCTATGAAGTATAAAACCTTCTGAGAGGAAAAGAAGGGAAAGATCCCATAAATTAGTTAAGGCTCATAAAGGACCACCAATCCTGCCATGGGGCCAATGCTTATAAAATCTGTTTTCCTCCTTTCTGCCTTTGTCTCCCATATGCAGTCCTTACATAACCAAATTCTCATTCACTGTCTGTCTCTCAGACGCTCTTTTGCATGCACACAAAGGAGGATTATGTAAACACATACCTGCTGGATTTCTCTAAGAGCCACAGTAACTGCGAACAAGACTGTCTGACTAATGCTGCTCTGACCGGAAATGTTACCGGCTGACTCAGGTCACTACATATGTCGTCCATCTCTTTCACCATGGGCCAACTGTAACCTGAAATGAAAACAAAAAACACAGCCTTTCTGATTGAAATTCGGAAAGTCAATGAAATAAAAACCTACATTTCCTATAAACATAAATTTCCATTGGAAAATTTGTTTCCATTTGAATTTGGAATTAGTTAAAATACCATTGAATACTAGGGCATATGTGGATAAAAATTAAATCTACAATCATACCACAGTAAATTTAGGCAACAATTAAAATGTTAAAAGGGGTTTTACCAATCTTGCAAGTAAAAAGAAGCACATTTAACCCTATTTTATTTACTTTAAAGATTCTCAGGCTCACCTTGAAGGAGGAGACCTCATGTGGTCTGTTGTCACTCCTTCAAGAGTGGGGCCAATGGGAGAAGACCATCCACTTGAGGCTACACAGCATGGAGACAAGGCTAGGATAAATCAATAGACCTCCACAGGAATGGCAGGAGAGCCCTGATGGAAAATCAAGCTAGGACCAGGGGAGGGGAGCATCTACAATGTGTAGGAGACACTGATAGTTACGTTGGTGAGGATGGTGGGTGATTGGGGAGAATAAACCTCACGATGGGAAGGGAGGCTAAACAATGATTAGATAATGGACCATATTTTATCTTCCTGGGTAGACATTACAAATATGTTTCTACTCAATCCGCGGTGAACCACGGGAAAGGATGATGTTGGATGCTGACCTTGCAGGCAGCATGGCATGCCCCAGGGGCTATAGCAGAAGGATTTAACATAGAGGTCCTGCAGAATGAACTGAACCCTGTCTCAAAATTGCCCGCACCCTTGGGCTGAGGACTGGGGTACTCGGATAGGAGAGGAAGCAGAGAGTAACTGACCCAGGGCTGTGGAAGTGGTGGTCACTGGACTTTGGAGCGACCCCCAGGCATGGTGGGTGTCCGATGCAAAGGGACCCAGAATCACCACATATTTAGTACCTTGAAGCCCCTCTCACAGTGACATGACATTTGATCTGTTGGGCAGGCATCTGCACTTAGAAGAATTGATCCAGGAAGTTTCCTCCTGGCACCAATCCCCATACTTAGGGTAAACAGAACTCAACTGAACAGGAGGTTGACCTGTGTAGGGCAACGACACATGGGTTTCGGCTCAAGGTGGAAATGTATTCACATAGACTCCTCATGTGGACAGTGTCTGGCGGGCTGGGTCACTGTAAAAACTGATGAAGTTATCAGTGCGATCGCCTTATACCCCAGGGGGATGACTGACAATGTTTTGCTTTTTTGTTTATATGTGTTTTTGTTTTCCTGCCTTTAGTTTGTTTGTTTGCTGGTTGGTTCGTTGCTGTTGTTAGTGTAGAAGCTCTTATGGGGTTTTGATTTTGTCATAATACAGCTGCCAAAGTCTATGCGTGAGTCATGCACATCCCACAGGCAAGCAGATGGATTCTGGGCTCCCACTTCAACTCTAGCTCCAATCCAAGAACAGTTAGTTCTGATAACGTGGCCCTGCTCGATACTTACCTTCATAAAATGATCACTGAGGATAAGGGTGCTACAGCACCGTGTGGTGAAGAAAGCAGATGGTGCTGGCTATCAAATGGGAATAGAGTCTGGGGTCTTAAAGGATGGTAGTCAAACAAGCAGTCATCTAAGTGAGGAATCAACTAAGTCCACATGGAAGAAGCACACCAGCTTGTGTGATCCAAAGTTGACAATAAACAAAATTCAAATATGACGAAGGGAAAAGTATCAGAGCTTAAATTAGTAGAAGGAGGACAGTGGGAGCCCAAAACCCATCTGCAGAGGATCTAGTCAGAATAAGTCTCTGGCAGATCCCTTATAGCCACAAGCAAGGGTCTCAAACAGCTTCA